AAAATGCATAACGTTCCTCATCAGAATTAACCATTCCTAGATCCTTCTTAGTAAAATGCATAACGTTCCTCAACAGAATTAACCATTCCTAGATCCTTCATTAGTAAAATGCATAACGTTCCTCATCAGAATTAACCATTCCTAGATCCTTCATTAGTAAAATGCATAACGTTCCTCATCAGAATTAACCATTCTTATAAACCAATAATAACAAACTGACAAATAGTGCATAACATCATAAAGAAGTGCCACAATAATACCAAAACAAATCATGCATAAAATATCCGTTCGAAAACTTCTAAAAGTTGATTCGGGCTGCCAATCTAACGTGAACTTTTGATTTCTTTGTTTGTAGTTAAACACAAACCTACACAATGGGCTGTCTGTGCTCTGTCCACCACGGGTATCAAAACCCGGTTTCTAGTAGTATAAGACCGCAGACATTCCTTTGTACCACGGGAGGGGGTAGCTCAACTTTTAGACCTTCAGATTTATTACTAAATCGTAATATTTTTTTATCGTGCCAAATAGCAGTAGAAAATTACACGCAAAAGTGTATCCTCGACTATTTCATTTCTATTTGTGTATCAAAAAATTACATGAAACTTATTCCCTGGATTTGGTAAATTTATTGATTCAAAAAGAAAAGCGAGATATTTTGCATTCACTCAGTTGGTTTTGTTTATTCGTTTGTTGTTAAGCACAAAGTTACACAGTGGACTGTGTGTGTTGTTCCTATCGTAGGTATCGAAACCCGATTTTGAGCATTATAAGCCCTCAAATTGATCACTGAACAACTTGTTAAATATCAAAGTATTATTCTCATTCTGTGTAAGTTATATTTCTCTTGTCAGGAGCAAAATATGAGATTATATTTATTAAGTTAAAATATTCGTTTATAGAAATAATTAACTGAGTTTAATAAAACTTTTAGAAAATGAATATTTCAAAATATTTTAACATTTTATTTCGCTCTAGTGAGATTTGCTATCATCTAATCAATCAATGTTATCATTACTGTAGAAACGTAAAAAGCAAAATTTCTACCTTCAAAGTACATTGGTAAACTGGAGGGGTACTCAATAGAGCACATACCTCCGCCACGGAGCGTTGATCATATTTGGTTCTCAAAAAATATGAATATATATCCGTATGTCCGTCATTATCAACAAACACTGACCATTTTAGGCAGGACCAACAATGAACAATAATATTATATTTATGCTCACCAAATTTCATCAAAATCCGAACGTTTTTGATCGAGTTATAGAGCCAAACGTAGTGTGAAAATTTGTTTGTTTGTTTGTTTTGAATTTTGCGCAAAGCTACATGAGAGCTATCTGCGCTAGCTGGCCTAATTTAGCAGCAAAAGACTAGAGGTAAGGCAGCTAGTCAACACCGCCCATCGCCACCTTTTGGACTACTCTTTTTCCAACGAATAGTGGGATTGATCATGACAATATAACGCCTCCACGGCTGAAAGGGCAAGCATGTTTCGTTAGATGGGGATTTGGCCATTAGATTGCGAGGCAAGCGCCCTAACCACTTGACCATACTAGGCCTCTAAAAAAATACAAAAATGTGTCCATATGTCCACCAAACTTCGTCAATATCCAATCATATTTGACTAAGTTATAGAAGAAAAATTGTGTGCAAACATCGGTCCTCATGTTAACAGATAGGGATTTTGGGGAGGGGGTTCATGACCTTGACCATTCAAAAACTAATCACTTCCAAAATGGGTCATAGTACAAATTTACACCAACTTTCGTCTAAATCCATTTAGCTGTTTTCGAGAAATTTTGCTGACAAACACACACACACGAAAGGGTGAAAACATAACCTCTGTCCACCTTCAGTGGAGAAGGTGATAAATGGATAAATCATGACTACAAAATAAATTGAATTTAAGCAAAGTAAGTTATTTGATAATTATTTGGTATAGGCACAAAGTTTTCTGATTGAAACAGACAGCCTCTTCCCCCCTCCCATAGGTCAGCGGTAAATCTGTAGGATGAAGACGCTAAAAATCGGGTTTCGATGCCAGTGGTGAGTACAACACGAATAGCCCATTGTATAGCTTTGTGGTTAACTGTAAACAAATAAACAAAACCGGAAAAATTGAAATAAAACAAGTATTTTAATTTTTCAGAAATAGAAAATGTTTAATTGTTTAAACCAGACGTTTGTTCTACTCGCCACGGGAAATCGAACCCCGTATGCTGACGTTGTAAATCCGTAAACTTAACGCTGACCCATCCGTAAAATGTTACGTACGTCGCAGATACATTTATAATACTGTGGGGAAAATGCATACAAATCTGTGTAAAAATAGCAGGTTTTACACATACTTCCCCATATACCTCGCGTAAACGAGATATCTCTTTAACAGAATAAATTCGTAACTATAAAATATACTTACAATTATAGCAGAATAAGAATGCTTTAGGAAAACACCAGTTGAAAGCTACAAACATGGGAATATGATTCTTATTTTATATAGATGCTAAAACTTCCCTGTCTGTTTTGTTATTATTTTTTTTGCGAATATTTCATTATCTCAAAACGGGTATTTCATCTTATTAAACAACCAACCGTAGAGGTGGTTTTTCCTGTGAATATACTCGAAATGGGTTTTTACGTCCACGTAATACGATTCAAATATATGTAGGAAAATAATCATTGGAGGAGACTAATTTCATGATAATGGTTTAAAAATATAACTAATGTCTCTGGTGAGGGAATATGGCATATGAAATATTACTTGGATTGAACTACAGATTTGTAAGCACAACTTTTCAACATTTTGATAGTTTATGGTGTTGGCGGCAAAGTTTAAAATTACCAACATATCTTTTATAATAGGTTCAACATTATATACTACAAAGATTAAGGAAAAATTGTTTTGGACTTGTGTTATCGTGACTGGAGATGTCACCATAATTATGAAACATTTGGTAGTATAAAGATCCTTAGCGTAAGGATGACATCATCAATAATGTTTGGGTTCATTCCAAGAATTACCTTTCACATGTAAATCTTCAATATCCACTGATATAAATGAAGGAAATGATAATAAAATTTTAATATCATTGTCACTTTCCCTACGATCAGGTCGATAAAATCAAGGTTTAAGAATACATAGCTATCAATGCTGGACTTCAAAAAGTCACTTCAAAAATGCTTTCACCAGCTTTCAAAGCTTAATGCCAAGAAACAGAACTGGTGGTGAAGCATCAATAAAAGACAAATAAGCTTCGGTCTGAACACTAACATTTAATACAAGCTGAGGTATCCGTCCTTTGTCCGGATTAAGTTTGTTAGTTTGTTTATGAATTTCGCGCAAAGCTACACGAGGGCTATCAATGCTAGCATTGGCTAATTTAGCAGTGTGAGACTAGAGGGAGGCAGCTAGTCATCACCATCCACCGCCAACTCTTGGGAAGCTCTTTTACCAACGAATAGTGGGATTGACCGTCACATTATAACGCCTCCACGGCTGAAAGGGCGAGCATGTTTGATGGGACGGGGATTCGAACCCGCGACCCTCATATTGCGAGTCAAGCGCCCTAACCACCTAGCCATGCCGGGAGTAGATGCTATAATAAATAATACAAAAATCCTAACTTTCACACAATTTATTTATTGCATAACATATTATTACCTCACCAAACGTTTGGTACAAGCTTTAGGAACTCATTAAACTCATTGGAGAGTTCGTGAGGCACACAAGCACATTCTTTATGGAGTTTTCCCATATTCCTTAGATGTTTACGTATTGTTTCATGAGAGATATGCAGTTACAGGGCCATTTCACGAGTGTCTGGCCTTGGGTTAGATTCAATAAACGTCTTCAGAGTTACAATATCAATTCCAACATGTCGACCCCTGCCATCACAGTTTTTAAGACCTAAAGTCACCGGAAAGAAATTTGTTGAACCATCGTTGACACTTACGAACGTTCAAAACATTTCATAAACTTATTTGATATTATTTGTGGCTACAGAGGCGTTGTTTCCCTTTTAGTATTCAAACAGCATTACATGCCGAGTGTGTATTTCGTCATGTGTCACCACTATAAGGGATTAGAGTATACTAAACTTTACACATTACATAGGCTACAGTAACGTGACGTTTTGGTGGTTCGTTTAACTA